CGCCCCCCCCCCCCCCCCCCATCTCTCTGATCTGCTACAACCGTATGTCCCACCACGTTCCCTGAGGTCAGCGGACCAGTTGCTCCTCACAGTTCCAGGAACTCGTCTTAAGCGCAGAGGGGACAGAGCCTTCTCTGTAGCAGGACCAAGACTTTGGAACGAGTTACCTCTGCTTGTCAGACAGGCCCCCTCCCTCTCGGTTTTCAAGTCCCGTTTAAAAACCCACTACTATTGGGTGGCTTTCAACACCAGATGATCTATGTTTTGAACCTGTATGCTCCACACTGGTTAGTCGTCATTATCTGCATCGTTTTTATGTCTATATTTATGATTTACTTCATTTTGTATTTTGCTTTGTGTGTTACCTGTTGTTCTGTCTGTATAGCACTTTGGTTGGCCTTGTCGCTGTTTTAAGTGCTCTATAAATAAAATGGTATGGTATGGTATGAATTAACTCGAATCTGATTGGCCGGTGTGATAGTGACGTCAGCGGTCAGCTGACAGTTTTGTTTTGCTCACTTGAGCTCGTGCTAATAAAAACAGAGGGCTAGAGCTAGGCAGGAAAGGAAGGAGGCGACGACGTTAAATCGGCTGTAAACTTGTTTTTCGCCCATTCACATTTTAAATATTATTATTATTTTACAGAGAAGCTCTCAGCACGGCAGCGGCAACAGCTATTTCTAAAAAAATAATTGTTAGTTTTGGTTTAGTTGCTTAGTTTCTGAACACCGTTTTTCGCATTTTAGCTAGCTAGCCGACTGTTTGACGCATTATGTATGCACACCACCAGCTAACCTACAAACAAAGAAAGACATTCGGTAGGTTGTTTTTGTCTTTTCAACCCGCTCCTCTGTTTATGTAATTACTTTAAAGAAGTCCCAGCTGATTGTTAATCATGCTGCTCATTTTATGAAAGCTAAGTTTATTTCTGTACAGTTAATTAAAAAAACAAGCCTCAACATGGACTTCATCTACTTTCTGTAATGTAAACTGTAGGTATAAAATGGATGACTTGCTTCAGGTCTTTAGTGTTCTCTTAGAACAATGGCAGAAAAACAAACGTGGTGTCGAAATGCTCAGAGCTGCAGGATTGGGGGATGGGATGGTTTGTGTGGAAGACGAATTAAAACGCTTAAACCAGGAATAACTTGAATTTCTGCCACTGGAGAGATTAAAGTTATTAGATAAATTTGAGAATCAAGATTACTGCGATTCATTGTCAATTATATTATGAAAATCATTGTTTTGACTTTATCTTGTACTTTGGACTTTTATTTCACCTAGTGAGATTCAGAATCATAAATTATTATGAAATAGAACATCTTTATTTAGTTAGTCATAGTTTGATATTTATAATCGTCGTTCTGACTTTTCAGTTCACAATGATCACATTAAAACTTAGTTATGAGCTCTTTGGTCATTTTAGTAGCTTCCAGTGCCTTTTTTAATACAATATTTATTTATTTTACTGCAATATGGCTCGACTCTTGGTGATAATTAGGTTGACGTGTTTTAATGTTGATATGAAATGTTAGTAATAATATGTTGCATAAAGTCTTATTTATGATTTAATAGTTAAGTACTGGATTGATTTCAGGTGTTGTTTTAGTTTACAATAAAATGTGATAGCCTGATAATTAAACTTGAATAAAACATATTGCTACTAGTATTAGAGGGAAGAGTGCAGCATAAGTAGTACCAGTTTAAGTAGAAGTTGCTTTTATTTAATTTTTTTGTATTTTCAAGTTCAAATGTTTTTTGTTTTGTTCTTGTTAATAAGTAAAAATGTGCTGTGCAATGAAAACAGCAATGTGGACTGGTTTCTGCAGCCCTGAAAATATATTTCCTAGAATGACTAAGAATAGCTGACTTCTGGTTTACAGACATGTAATTGGTTCAGGTTTGCACAACATGTGCATGTGAGGGCAACCCAGAAGAGAAACACTGTGTCACATGCATGAAAGTACCAGTACATTTTGATGACTCACAGGACTGAAACTTGCTTTACAGATTTGAATCGGTTTTCAATGCGATGCCACTACAGACTTGCAGCTGTGGAGAGACAAATACACAGAACCAGTTTAGAAACGAACCTTTGTGTTGATCTTGGTTTACAAGTGAAAAGTTTTCACATGAGCAGGTCAGGTTTAGTGAAACCAAAAGTCACAGAAGTCTTTGAAGGAAGCTCCATCAGTTTCTAGACATCTTTACAACACAGGAGATTTTTCTAACAGAACATGACTCATACCAACAGATAGAAGAAAATAGATGTAACAGTATGCTTTTTATAGGAATGTGTTAAATGTAATTTACCAGTACATAAATATTTGACTTTTTGTATAAATGTGAAAAGTATCATATTATTTAAAAACAGTGTACATGAATTAACGCTCTGTTGTGTACTTTACGCTATAAAGTTTCCATGGTGAATCGAGGAATTTGGGTTCACTCGAGCATAATTCGAGGTTAGAGTTGATTAAACTGTTTGTAATCATATCCTGATGCATGCTCAATAATCATTTCCTTAAATGATTTGCTAAAATTAAATAGTTTTCATTTGATACTATTGCTATTTTAACGTGAGTCTTGACCTGCCATTGTGTATCTGTTCCTACCAAACCCAGCTGATGGAAGCAGATGGCCGCTTGTCCTGTTTCTGCTAAAGGTTTCTTCCTATTGAGGGGATTTTTCTTTTCCACTGTCGCCTTCGTGCTTGCTCAAGATGAGAGTTCTGTGATGAAGTTAAACTCAAGGCAGTCTGCTCCTCAGATAAATAATGTTAAATTGTTATTTTTATATATGAATGTTTCTGTTCAGTGCCTTGAGATGACTTCTGTTGTGACTTGGCGCTACAACAAAGTTAAGTCAGGTCCTCTGGACAGATTCTTCTTGTTGAAACGTTTTGTCTTTTATCCAAAAGACTTCTTCAATCTGAGGCGCTGCAACAAACAAAGTAGTTTTATAAATGGCACCTTCTCATAGTGGATCAACCAGTTTGCTGGTGATTAGTTGTTTACATTGTAAAGGAGGACCATCAGTCTAACAATTGGTCGTAGTGCCCTGATGGCTGTTTGCTATTCACAGAGGGCTGAGTGATACTAGAAATAGCAGCATTGTAAGAGGGGGGCAGTTGAACACGGAGGCCTCCACCCCTACAAATCAGTTTGTAATCAGTTGTTCTGGGACTGAACGTTTCCTCTCTCTGAATAAGTGAGCATTCTTTCTGGACCCCCCCAGCAGTCATCTTGTGTGTAAATTTTAGTGGTTGGGTTGATATTAAAGTATTTTTTTAGTAGTTTGTCATTAAATTAAATCTGTTTAACTTCAGACGAACAAAGAAAATTCTTAAGTCAGCAACATGTTGCCTACAAGAAGGGAACAAGTCAAAGAGATCTGTAGAGTTTGGATTGTTTCTTTCGGCTGCTCCCTTTCTCGGGTCGCCACAGCGAACTAACTCGCTCGAAGACTTGGCAATTGTTTTTACGCCAGATGCCCTTTCTGATGCAACCACCGAGCTACCACAGTCCTCTGTGTGGAGCAGAGAGCTGCTGTCTAGGGTGCTCAGGGGAGCAACTGGTGGGGGTCAGTCAGTAACAGTAAAAATACATTTAAAAAAAAGTACAAATATTTCCCATTCCATTGTCTTTTTCTTCCTCCTTTTGTTTGATTGATGACTCAGCGGTCACAAGAACCGGAAACAATCAGTCTTCTCTGTTCCTGATTGAAACTCAATCATGGAGTAGTGTATTACCACATTTATCATGTGAATGGTCACTGCTCGTAATCGGTTGATTGAGTTGGATGTTGATGCTCAGTTTGTCCTCAGAGGAAATTTTTTTGTGGTTGAACTGCAGAAACTTGAGCTGACAGCTGATCACGAGCTGCTGTTTCTGTTAGGATCATAGTTGCAGCATCTAAAAATGAGTTGTTCTTTTACTCTCGTGGTCAAAGCTTTTAAAAATGAGACCAAATTAATTCTGTTTTCATAATAAAAATGTGGGTATACTCCAGAGTGTATATACATAAGTATACTGTGGAAACGACTAACAAAACACTTCCAACAATTAAATTTTGTATTAATCTCAAAACTTTTTGCCACGGTTGTGTAATAATGTTAGTTTTTTTTTTTTTACCCGTTGAAGCTGCCAGGTTGGTGTTAACGGTTAAAGACTGATACTCAGAATCACTGGGTGGACTCAGAAAGTTCAATGTTCAGCGGTGCGTCATCTGTCTGTTTGCATTCTGGTTGACATTTTTACCTGGGTCACTCGCAAATAATATGTCTGACTAAAAGCTGGGTCACACAAGAGGAACCTAACAAGGTTGAGTCGGGTTCTCTGGACCGATAGTGGACCTGACTCAACCTTGTAGGATTTATCTACCTGGATTATTGAGCATGCATCAGTACATTTTAAGAGGAACCTTCTCAAAATAAAACTTAAGACCTTCGGTTCAGGCTGTTGGTTTTATTTAGCAGAGTTAGAAACACGGCGCCTCTCAGACTTGCAGAACCACAGCCCGCGTGTGTTTAACAAATCCATGAATGGACACACTTTATGCAAACCAAACAAATCTGACAATTTACATTCTTATTTATTTTTGTGTTTTCTCGCCCCACAGAGGAGAGAGTACAAGAAGCAGAATCGATCCGAAAGATGCACCCTGACAAGATCCCTGTGAGTTCAACAACGTTGTCAAATTTTATAAACATCAAGCTGAGAATCATGAATGGTTTTAAAAAGTTGGCGAGCACAGGAAGATGAGACGACTTCACCTCGTGCTTCCTGGTCGAGTGGTAAAAATGTCTTGTTTGTGTTTTTTCATTCAACCTTTATTTATACAGGTTAGTCTCATTGAGCCTCGAGGACTTTTCAGCTCCTAAATGGAGACTTTGTTTCGTTTAGTTTGGGTCATTATTTATTTTGAACAATGGGTTAACAGCTGTTTTGACCTTCTGCTGATGAAATGTTTAAAACTTGGAGAAACAGATGAGAGCTTTGAAGTTCGTGCCCCACTGGGCTGCGACTGTTTCTCCAGTTCGCAGGGGAGCCTCTGGCATGACAATAAAACATTCTCAGCTTCTTCACGTGGGTCACGGAGACTCAGTCTTGCCATTTTAGGTTTAAACATGCTCCATTTTTTAGGACACTTTTTTTCCTCCAGAAATAAGGTTGTTACGGGCGTTTCCAGGCAGTCTTAAGAGCTCCAGAGCTGCATTTTAACTCCAGCGTAAGAGCTCTGGCTGGAAACTCTGTGGCCTCATTTCTGAAAAACCACACTGATGACGAATAATGATTTTAAAATCTTGTCCTAATCAGCCCATCTTCATTTCAAGATTAGATTAGGTCTTAAATGAGGGAGAGGCTGCAGTCATGGGTGGAGGCTGGTGACAAAATGTGCACGGCCAAGAATGCAAATTTACAAACTGCTCACAGAAATAAGCTCGGATTTTCAAAAACTGGCCGTGCAAAACGCAGACGCACAACTTTAGTTGCTTTGTCACAAGCGGTTAGAAGTCGGTGAGAATACAACAGAAAATCAACGTCTTTTCTTTGATCCTAACCCATAAACTGACGGTTACAGAAGCTTGTGACTCCATCTGCTGCGGGTTTAAATATACAAAACTTCTAATAACCCATTTAAACATGGGAACAACGACGTGGTCCGTCTTAACATCCATAAAATAATTTTCAGTAATTTCTAATGACTGTTTTTATCCTCTTGAACAATTAGGGTTTAAAATGTGCCATAAACAATCATTTGTAAATCCAGTTTGAAATCTGGAGATTGTCTACATGGTTTTGTGACCCGCATTGGGGTCTGGCAAAACCTAGTTTGAGAAGTCTGGTCGTCTGTGACGACGCCACAAACCAGTTAGAGAGAAAATCTGATGCACAGTTTTCTTTGAACATGTTCAGAAAAATCAAGTGAGCAGACTGAGAGTCTCTGAGACGCACGTGAGGACGCTGAGAAAGATTTGAGACGTTTTGGAGACTTCTTTGTGAATTCTGTTTGTCAACTGGCTGCTGACAAGTTTCCAGCCCATATCACCTTAAGATATTAAATCCTATTTTCTGTTTATCAAACTGTTTATCTTTGGCATTTTTATAGATTCAACTTAAACTGGAAACAAACCGTCTTTGCGACAGGGTGCTGGTTATAAAGAACCCAAAGACCTGATTTCAGATTGCTTCTTTAAGTCGTCTGGTATGTGTCCATGTGACTGATTTATCCTTAAAGTATAGGAACTGTGTCGTAAGTGTCTCAGCAAAGACAAATAATACTTTCCTTTGAAAATGCGCATCGTTGGACACATGATGAGGGGAAAAAAGCCACTAAAGTCCCAAAACCCCAAACTTTAAGACCTTCAGAACTCTTGGAGAACTGATGATAGAGACCAGTTTGAAGGATTACCAGAAAGTCCGATGTGACTCAGGACTTTTGCACAGTTATAAGTTAGTTGAATAGGTCGGCTGTTGTTCAGAAGTGCACCTCGAGTTTCACCCGCTCGTTTTGAGATAGAATATCAGCGCCGCTCTCCATCTGCTGGCCCGGCGCGCGTGTTTCCTCTGTTTCCGTGTAGACTTGTAAAGCGCCGCGTCATGCTGAGACCAGAGGCAGATGTGCTGCGTCGCTGTAACATAAACTGTCCAACATTGAAGTATTTACATAAACCAAAAATATATCTGACTTTTTTCATTTATTAGTAGCATTCCTTAAAGAATGCCTATCGCCCACCACCTTACGTATCGTTTTAACAAAGATTTTGTGCCCTTTTTATCACTTCCAAATATGGGAGTTTAAAGAACAAGATATATTTTCATAGAAAGACAGTGGTGGCCGTCTTACATTAGTTTGACTCTTAACCATCTGTACATGTTTACCCAGTGAGAGTTTCATTTAAATAAATCATTTCCCCGGTTTACAAGACATGATCGCCCACCTTTCATGGTCTCAAACAATGTTCACATACGCGACATGAAACCTGCCATGTTTATAAAATGACACATTTTCAGACATGATCGTGATTTTTCCACCCTGCCAAAGGTGAAAGGGTGATAATGTCTTTGCCAGTGTATTGAAACTGTAAAAAGGAATCACTGTGTGAAAATCTACAACTACTTTTAGCAAACACAGAAATCATAACTCTGTATCCAACAAAGTTAAGTCGGGTCCTCTGGACGGTTTCTTTTTTTGTTGAAACATTTCATCTTTCACCCAAAAGACGAAACGTTTCAACAAAAAGAAACTGTCCAGAGGACCCGACGTAACTTTGTAGGATTTTTTTAAATCTGGATTATCGAGAATAAACTTTGACATAACTGTAGATTTCACAAATCTAGAGCTAAACGTTAGTGGTGGTAGTAGCTGAGAGTAACCAACGGCACACACCGTGAGCTCTAATGCTGAGGTGTCGTACGAGGTTCGCTCGGAACATTTAAAGTTTTGGACCAAAACGGCTGCAACTCCTTCGTTCGTCAACCTGAGACGGTTTCAGTCTAAAACTCTGGCCTGGAAGGCAGCGGGCGACATGCATCCTTCAAATAATGCACGGCCTGAAACTGAAGGCTGTTCTCTGGACAGTTGTTGGCGGGTCATGGGGAGCAGGAGACTGATGCAGCATCTGTGTTTCTGTTCTGAAGGTGATCATTGAGAGGTACACCGGAGAGAAGCAGCTCCCCGTCCTGGACAAGATCAAGTTCCTGGTTCCGGACCACGTCAACATGGGGGAACTCATCAAGATCATCAGGTCCTCCTGAACCCCTCCTCTGCTCTGTCCTTCCTCTTTACCTTCTAACATTTTGTGTTTTCTTTCATCAGATCAAATGAAGTTGAAACTAGTCTAAACTTGTAAATGATTGTTCAGAGAGAGCTCCGAGACTTTTTGTGAACCCAAAGCCTGAAATGAGTTCAGATCTTAGCCCCACGCTTCGAACCTCTCTGTTAATTTATTTATTCTGTGACTCATTCTTTCTTTTCCGTGACGACTCCTCGTCCTGCCATAAACATTTTCATCTATTTTCATTGCTTCTCCTTTTCTCCTGTTTTGCTTCAGTACTATTCTTCTTCCTTTTTAGTTTCTTCTTTTGTTTTTCGATCCAAAAACATCTCGTCTTCTTTCTACTTTTCATTCTTTTGTTAAAGTTTTTCTTTTATTTATTATCGTCAATCTGTATATAAACAATTTTCAGTCAGGCCATCTGGGCAGTTTCTTTTCTTGCTGAGACGTTTCGTCCTTCATCCAAAGGACTTATTCAGTCCAAGGAGCCACAAACAAACTGGAGTCCCACAAGCACCAACTCCCAGAGTGGGAAAAAAACAGTTTGCTGGTGATACGTTGGTTTCTGGGGCCCACCCTGTCAACTCCTCAAAGGCAGCCATGCCAAAATGGTTCAAAACATCAAAGTTCATGCTCAGTAATCTAGGTACAAATCCAACAATGTTTTTGTGGCTCCTCGGACTGAAGAAGTCCTTTGGATGAAGGATGAAATGTCTCAGCAAAAAAAGAAACTGTCCAGATGAACATGGTTGGATTTGTACCCGGATTATTGAGCATGAACTTTGGTGTTTATTCTGTATCTCTCGGCTGTGACTTCAGAAACTCATCAGCAACAAAACTTTGAAGGAAAATGGACGAATGTTCTCGCAGCTTCACTGAATTCAGTTTGACTGAGCTGTGGAGCCGAGTTCTGAGGGTCCGATATTTGAAAATCATGGCGTACTTTCATGTGCACGGTGTAAAAAACATTCTTGGCCGTTCTCATAATTTCATTGCCTACATTTATGGTTTAATCTGCTGAACTACACTGTAGAAATGAAAACTGGCAGGTTTGGACCAGTTTTTATAAATATTTATTATCAGTCTGGGTGTTTGGGGCTGCAGCTTCAGACGCAGGAGTCCAAAAACAGCTTTAGCGCTCTAAAATTACATAAATGAATGATTTAAGACACTTTCTGTGACTGATACGAGATAAAAATGTGTAATGAGGCTGTAAACCTCTGCAAATGTTTAAAGACGTTTCTGGGACTTCCTCATGAAAGCCGGTTGCCGACAGTTGCAGCTCAGTGAGAAACGGGTTCAGGTTAGGTTTATTTGTCATATGTAAAATCAACACGAGGGCAACAGAGCAATGAAACGTTTAGGATGAGAAGAACCGTCTCGACTCGACAAAACAAACAAGAAATACCAAAGCATGCAGCAAAAATACTAAAAACATACCAAAATACTACTAAAATACTACTAAAATACTAAAAACAAGGCCCCAGCGTTGAAAAAGAAAAACATCTACAGTGTGGTTTGGTTAGCAGTGAGGTTCTTTCAACATCATGGTTCTGTTCTGTTAGCGGCGTGGTCTTGTTAGCTGCTTAGCAGGTTCAGGTCAGCAGCTCGATGGTAATAAGGACCGCAGCAGCTGCCCTCACAGACCACAGTCCAGAACCAGGTCCAGCAGACAGAGAACATCCCAGGTTTCCCAGCAGAACCGAACGGGTCCATAATGTGTGTGCAGGCAGATGGAGGATCTTGTTAGCAGCGTCAGCAGGTCTCGTCAGCAAGTCCGGCCTTAAAGTTCAGATTTTTACCGTTTCTTCCTGCAAAGTTTAAAATGTTTTTTTGTTTCTTTGACTTTACAATCAGGACAACCAAATTCATTTAACAGGAAAAGTAAAGCGTGAAGATGAAATACGAGGCAGCGTACAGATTTCTTACTTTTCTGGCTGTGATGTCTTCGTTTCCCCACCAGGAGGCGCCTCCAGCTGAACAGCAACCAGGCCTTCTTCCTGCTGGTGAACGGGCAGAGCATGGTGTCCGTGTCGGCGCCCATCTCGGAGGTGTACGAGCGCGAGCGGGACGCAGACGGCTACCTCTACACGCTGTACGCCTCCCAGGAGACGTTCGGCGCCGCCCCGTGAGCCGCCATTCCTCCACCCGGCTCGGTGATTTGGAACTCTGGTAGCTCGTAGTCTTCCCCCTTCCCACATTTTCCCACCATGCACCTCTTTTAGGCCTACAGGTACAAACCGCTAACGGACGGAGCGTTGGATCATGTGATCTGGTGTAAAACTGATCCCAGAACTGCAGAGTTTACGTAGAGAAGCGACTCGGGTCCATCGGCGGGTTTTCGTTCAGCTCTGCTCGCTGTCATGTTGATGGTGTTTACCGTCAGTGTTGTGGCTCCGCCTCTTCTCTGCTGTGTCGATATGAAAACGTAAACAACTCATCAGCCCGAACAGTCATCAGAGTAAAAGGTGTTTGGATCCATGAGGTTTTAGTTCAGATTTTTATGCATCGTTTGTTTTATTTTTAAAATCTTTTTCCTCGTCTGCCTTGAAGCGTCTTCACTGTAACACCTTCTGCTCCCAGAACAGACGGGTGTAGTTTACAGCTAACGTATAAACATCATAGATCGTAGAAATGCCTTGACGTGCAGATATTTGAGTGTAACCAAGTGAGACGAGGAGCTTCGATGATGTTTTTGTAAATAAAGGGAAAGGTGGAGGTTGTTTTCTCATCTTCCTCATTTTTTATTTTTGTTTTAATTAATCCCCACTGAGCCGCAGGTTCAAGTTTTTGTTTTTTTTGTGCTGGATCGTCACACTTCCTGTTTGGTCCTCCTCGTCTAAACGTATTTGAGTTTAGCTGCTTGATATTGAAGTTTTATTGTTTTATATTTTTGTTGTGTTTTTTTTTCAATGTGATTTTTATCTGATTCAACAGCACGTCTTCGCTGCCTGGCTTGTTTTTGTTGACTCGTGTGTTTTGTGACGGAGAGGTGGAGCTTCTGTTTTAACACTTCCTGTCCCGCCCACTCCTCCGTCTCACACTCGGCAGCATCACACAGCCTCCTGCACAAAATGTGTTCATCTTGGTGTTTTATGAACAATTTAAAAAAAAAAAGGAAAAATAGTTTTCTTTCCGTGCTTTTCCTAATTTGCAAGTTGTCATTAAAAATGGAGTAAAAATTAATAAAGTACATGATGAAAGCTTTTCTCTGTCAGATCATACGAGCTGTCAGCTGCTTCCACACTGACACTTGGCTTCATGTCTGTAAAACTGACTGAGCTGTAGCCATTTCTGTGTTTGCTAAGTCAATTAGCTGTGGCAGCCATGTTGGATGGGGTTGCATCCACAGGTTGAGGTGTGGACCTTCATCTGTTTACTTTGAACGCTTCATTAAAATCTGTCCAGTGGTTCAAGAGATATTTTGTTAACACGCACAAGATGAACCTCCTATAAATGCATAACTTGTCAAAAATAAAGTTTAATTAAAAAATATCTTTTCTTTCAGAAATGTTTTTGGTCATCAGTTTCATGGGGGATGAAAATGGATTTTCTTTTTTTATTCAGTTTATTTTTTTTGTACCTGCATTTGTTCATAAAAATAAACCTAAATGAGCGTCGGCTACAAGAATTTAACTTCGAAAGTTTTTCCTGTAGTTCGTCTCCCAAATTTGTTTGGGTAACTAAAGTGAAGAATATTTGTGATCAAATATTGCTTTAATGTGATGAGTTCAGGGTCCGAGTGCAGCAAACTGCTCCTCTGATCACGTTTAGATTTAAGTTGGTTTAGTTTTGGTGGAAAACAGCGAGACGAGTTAAAGGAGCAGCCTGAAGGAAGAGGCGACATCTCACGGAGAAATGTTGAAATACAACAGACTCCCAGTCTCACTGCAACTTAAAGCTTATTTTAACGTTTTATTTTTTCAAAGTTCATGCTCAATAATCCAGGCAAAAGAATTCAACAAAGTCAGGTTGTCTGGATGTTTTTTTGTCTTGAAACGTTTTGTCTTTTATCCAGGACTTCATCAGTCCGAGGAGCCACAACAAACAATCCCATAAGTAGCACACTTACTTATCGTGGGTCAACCAGTTTGATGATGATAAGATGGTTTCTGGAGTCAGGCCTCTCCCCCGTTCACTCGTCTGAGGCAAACATAGCTAAAATGGTTCAAAACAGTTTATGCTCAATAATCCAGGTTAAAAAAATTCAGCAGTCAGGTCCTCTGGACGGTTTTGAACCACTTAGCCATGGCTGCCTCTGACGAGTCTGGGGGGGGAGAGGGCAGATTCCAGAAACCATCACCATCAAACTGGTTGACCCACTATGTGAGTGTGCTGCTTATGGGACTGAGTGTTGTGGCTCCTCGGACTGATAGAAGTCCTTTGGATGAAGGACGAAACATTTCAACAAAAAGCAAACGTCCAGATGACCTGACTCAACTTTGAAGTTTGATTTCTTGCTTCTTTTTCAACATTTGAAAAGTTTTTTTTTAAATCCTTCACTATTTGGAGCTTATTTAACAAATCAAATCTTTAATAAAGGCCTGGCATTCCTCGAAGGAATGCCTATCACCCGTTGCCCTTCACGCTGGAAGTTTTGATTCAAATAATTTTTCGTTTAGAATATTTTAGAAAGGCAGTCATCCAGAAGACGATGGTTCAGTTGAAGCAGACGACTCCTGCTGATGCAGGCTCATTATCCAGGTCGAAAAATCTAAAAGTTACTCCAGGTCCTCTGGATGGATTCTTCTTTGTTGAAATGTTTCATCTTTTATCCAAAAGACTTCAGTCTGAAGAGCTGCAACAAACTCACTCTTATAAATATCACCTTCTCATAGTGGATCAACCGGTTTGTTGTCATTCAGAACTAGCTGTTCACATGATAAAGGAGGACCATCAGTGGATCATCAGTGGATCGTTCGTGCCCTCATGGCCGCTTGTTCTTCACAGAGGGCTGAGTGATGCAATAACAAGCACTGTAAGAAGAGGACAGTTGAACACGGAGACCCGGCCCACCCTGTTTAAAGATGGGCGGGTTCTCTTCACAAAGATGGCTTCTTTCACTTCTCGTGGTTCCTCTCCATCAAGAATGTGCACATCTTCACTCTTTCAAGGATGAAAGACGTCCTTTTACATGTGAACAGCTAGTTCTGGATGTCAACAACAAACTGGTTGATCCAATATGAGAAGGTGTCATTTATAAGACTGAGTTTGTTGCAGCTCCTCAGACTGAAGAAGTCATTTGGATAAAAAAACATTTCAACAAAGAAGAATCTGTTCAGAGGACCTGACAACCTTGTTAGATTCAATTCAACCTTTATTCCTCTGCAAAATTTAAACTTCATAAACTAAATATGAAATGATTTTGTGTTGCTCCAGACCCAAAAGGTAAAAACAAACGTCAAGTTTGGCTTAAAAAAAAAAAAAAAGTTGCACAATCAGTTGAAGCTTAAGATAATTCTTTATTCCAACATGTTTTCCTGAACTGTCGGATACAATTTTAATAGTTTAAAACGCAGTAGGCATTATAAAATCCAACATTTATAAACCATTTGAACATTTGCACACAAAAACAAAGCAACGTGCACGACGGAGCCTCGTTTCTGAAGCTCTGCTGCTCAAAAAACAAAGTCTAAATTGCAAAACAAACCCGAGCCAGTTTTTGTAGAGTCTACAAAAGGAATTACAATCAAAGTCAACTTAACTTTTTTTTAGTTTTTTTTTTTCTGTGCATTTGGTTCGGAGCTGAAAACGCACAACACAAACCTGACCGACTAATCTCAGACAAACAAAAACTTGTTTTTTAAATAAAACATCCCTTTTCCTGCACTGCACCCTCCGAGGGTACAGATAAGTGACGGACCAGCTGTCCTGGGTCCTGCCCAGAGACCTGGACCACCATCAGAGACTTCAGTTCCTTCCTGTTGCATGACAAGTGAAAACCCAGAACCAGGCAGCTGCTGGAATAACTCCAGGTAACAAACCTGTAAAACCAGAACAAAACCAGAAACCTCAGCACTTTGAAACATTCAGGCGTCTCCATGACGACTTCAGACCCTTTTTGTATTTTTATCTCGTTTTGCCTGCAGGTTTGCTCAGAGGCAGCTGAGGCGACAGCTTCAGCTACAGATTGTTAAAATCAAGAATTCCTCCTAAACGACAACAGTTTAAAAGACACAGACACTGCTGTGTTTGGACGTTTATAGATTTACTGTGTTCTGGAAATAAAAGAAGAAATGTTACAATTTTTAGGGAAAAATAGGGGATTTTAAATTTAGCAACACGTCTGTAAAGTTGATCCAGGTCCAGGTTTCCTCTGTGAATCATCTCATCTTCTTTAACAGAAGTCTGGAAACAACCAGGACCTGAGACCAGTTGAAGGTTTTGGAGGACCTGAAGAAATGAGCTGTTGGAGGTTTTGTAGGACCAGAGACCAGTTGTTAGAGGGTTTGTAGGACCTGAAGAGACCAGTTGTTTGAGGGTTTGTAGGACCTGAAGAGACCAGTTGTTGGAGGTTTTGGAGGACCTGAGACCAGTTGTTGGAGGTTTTGGAGGATCTGAGAAGACCAGTTGTTGGAGGTTTTGGAGGACCTGAGGAGACCAGTTGTTGGAGGTTTTGGAAGACCTGAGGAGACCAGTTGTTGGAGGTTTTGGAGGACATGAAGAGACCAGTTGTTGGGAGAGTTTGTTCCTACATTATCTCCAAACCCTCAAACAACTGGTCTCTGGTCCTGGACGTTTAAAGACAGTCGTTAAAGAAGAGCGGATGCTTCACACCTGGAACAACTTTTAAAAGAAATGTTGATGATGCCATCGATTTTAATAAGAACTTATTATTTCCTGAAAAGAGAACAACTTCTCTGATGTCACTTCTGGTGCGTTCACGTTCCTTTGAGAATAAAATGTGAGTTATGAGATTTTCAAATCATCACGTTGTAATTTACATTCTCACAGCACCCAAACTTTTCAGAACTGAAGTTCTTTTTCATCACAGACTCGTTTTGGGCTTTCATAATCTTCTGACTCAAACTGACTAAAAAAAAATAATAAAACTTTTGTGATCTGAAACGTTTCGAAGCTTTTGTCCATAAAAGATTGTAAAGTTTCCAGCTGCTTTTTTAGACCGCTGAGGAATTTTATGCATCATCGCTTCAAACTGTGGTCTGAAATGTCCCATCAGTTTCCTCTGTTAAAAAAACAACAACAACGCTCTATTTGTAAAAAAAAAAAAAAAAAAAAAAAAGGCAGAAAACATGGCACTGTGGCACAAACAGAAGCTGATTTAGTAAAAGGCAGGTTAATACTGAAATCTAATCAAACCATGATGAGCGCAGAACATCTGGAGAGGCGACGGTGCACCCGAGCGCTGCAGAACAGAAACACTTGTTTGGTGAAGCTGCTTCGAGACGCTTCTGCTGAGAAACCGAGTCAGGAACACGACTCGTCCGCAGAGTTTCTGTTAGAGGTCTGAAGCGTCCCGCTCTCTGAGGTTTGAGAAGATTAGCCGACTGAGTCCTCTCTGGTTCCCTGCAGTTGCTGCCTTCAGCAGGAACGCTCGGTAGAAGTCGTTTCAAGAGATTACCGGATCAAACATGGCCGGTCATTTGCTGATCAGTCCCCCGAGTCTTTACTCGGAGAGTGAGGCGTGTACTTCAGCCGAAACATCCCTGCGAAACAAAGGTCATGATGAACGTCAAAATTAGCTGGTAAATGAATTAAAACAAAAATACTGATCGAAACATGAAGGCTGTGGCTAATTTCAGGATTAAATCTATGACTTAGATTAAACTATTGGATAAAGTTTAGTCTAAACATTCATGTTGAGTGATTTTCATTTCAATTTGTCACAAGAGCTGAAAATATTTATTAACATCGTGCATTAAAGATACATGTTACGGGTAAAAAAAAAAAAAAATCATAAATTAGGAAAAAATATTTCAATTTTTTTTCTCAGTTTCTGTGGTCTTAAATTAAACAGTTGTAACCAGTTGCCAACTACCCAGTGTGTTTGTTTACCTACAAAAACAGCTGAAGTGGCTGAAAAAAGGTCAAATATTGCATCATCAATTTTTCTGTCCTGGCTCGTATTTATGTTCACATCTGTTGAGTAATGTTTGTGCTTTGTTTACATTGAACGCATACCTGCATTTTAGAATTGCATATCAATAAAACTAGAAAACTACCGGAGTAAACTCAAACTACATTGTTTGGTAAAGCTCAGGATAAACTTATTTATGTTAAGTTTCATACAATGCAAGGAGGTCCTTTAATAAAAATAATAAGTGTGACGATCAAACAAACAGTTGCAATGAATAAATATAAATGTCTTTGATTCCTTCAAGGAATGAACGTTTCCTGCCAGAGATTTAGCCAGTTTGGTCAAAGTTTCAAAATAAAGATTCAGGTGATCTCACGCTCATAAAGTACGTGTTGTTGACCCTCAGCAACGAACACAACGAACACGAGCTCATTCTGTGTGAGACTGAGAGTTGGAGTCGCTCAGACTCACCCTGCTGCGTGGAATCCATCGGCGGCTGTTTGCACTCCTCGGCTCGGTGTCTGCTGGCGCCGCAGTTACAACACGACACGTTCACCGCTGCCCGTTTCTGGTTTCCCATGAGACCGTGCTGCTGGTAGAAACCGAAGCTCTGCTGCTGGTCTTGTGACGTGGGGCTCTGGCGGTACAGCGGCGGCGGGATCATCATCGGGTAGGGAAAGGGCGGGGCCCCGGGGCCGGCGGTGCTGGACGGGGCCACGAAGGGGCTGAGGTGGAGGAGAGGACTGAGGGTGAAGAGAGACGGTCCTGCAGAGAACGGCTGCAGGTAGCCGGCGGCTGCATATCCAGGTAAGGGCGCCCCGTAGGCGCCACAGTTGCCACGGCAACCGCAGGAGCTGCAGACACACATGGAGGGGCTGTGAGGTAAACTCTGGTCTGATGAGGGGGCGGGGCAGGCAAACGGGGCGGGGCTGGAGGCGGTCAAGTAGTAAGCGTTACCAGGTACTGCAGCCACAGGGACGGTGCTGGTTGTTGCCATAGAAACATAACCACCTGCACCTCCGGAGCTGCCAGACTTGGAGGAAGTGCAAGTGGAGGAAGAGGAGGAGGAGGAGGAAGGAGGGTAAGAGTAGTATCCTGTTGGAGAGGAGGAGAGGTGGAAGAGGAGGGGAGGCTGGGAGACGTGGTGGAGGCTGTTGGAGGTGGAGGTCAGAGCAGAACTCGTCTCCACCAGACCCGCTGCACCTCCACCTTCTCCACCTTGACTGCAACAAAGCCCCACCCCCTGCAGCCCGGAGGACCCATCCACTGTCAGTCCAGTGAACTGGTTCTCCAGCCTTGCCGCCACCCCAACACCAACACCAACCCCCACCCCAGGACCTGAACCAAAGCCTCCCCCCACTGAAGCCGCACCTGGCAGCTTAGTCCTGTCTTCCATGGACAACGGGGCGGGTCTGGGTTTCCGGGGGGAGGCAAGGATCCGTGCTGGGTTTGAGATGGGCTGAGGGTGGAAAGGAGTCTGCAGGAGGCCGAAGGGAGGGTGGGAGGAGCAGGAGGGTGGAAGAGGAGGAGCTGGGTCCGTCTGGACGGGGAGGACCTGAGCGGTGGGGCGTCTGGACCCGGTGGGGCAGGTGGAGTTCAGGATGAAGAGGCAGGTCCGGTCCTTATCTGAAGCAGCTGCTGCTGCATCTGGAGCCGACACACCTGAAACAGAACCACACGCTGGACTGATCCACAGCTGACGAGACCTGGTCCATACGGCCTCAACATGAAAACAAAAAAAGGTTTTACGAGATAAAACTTCGGCCCAAACGGGTCAGACTCCTCTCCTTCAGCCTCATCAGTTTACCATAACCGACGGTCCATATGCCGCTACTTTCTTCACAGGCTGTGAACCCTACGGCTGCAGCTAAAGTATGGATTTTTTATTTTTTTGATGGGCTAACAAGCTTCCTATCACCAAATGCATTTAACTTCGTCACACCCTGGCGCTCACACAGCTGCCCAATGCCCCTCTCTAGGGGGTGGGTCCTCGTGACAGACACATGATAGAGTGAACCCCACAGTTTTCATAACAACTACCTCTCTCACTCATGGTTACTCATGGTTATGAACACATAAACTAAGCTAAGAACAGACTAGTAATCAATAAAAGAACAAAGCTAAACAGCTAACCAAAATGATAAAAAATTGAGCTTAACTTTTACCCATAATTCCTCTCTGAAGCCATGTCAACCACAATGAACCAATGAGGTGCATTGAGTCAAGAGGACCCACCCCACAAGAGAGACGTGTATTGATGAGACTACCTGTATAAATAAAGGTTAAAAAAAGAAACTGACCAATGAAATTACCAAACAGGTCACAGTCGAACCAATGAACCATGGAGGGGAGGAGAGAATGGGGATCCCCCTGCATGCAGAGCACAAGAGTCTCACATGCTCGCAAAGCAACTTTGCTCCGGAGCGCAAGCTTGCAGCAGGAGGAGCGTATCGATCAATTACTTCCTGGTAGGCTACTGTATTTTATTTTTTAACCAACTGTGTTACTGGCACCGTTCAGGAAAAAAATTAAAAAAATTAATTACTCTTCGTATTTGTGAATGTTACTGGTACGTATTGTAGCATTCTGCTGTGGTTGACTGCTGGTCACATGGCCTCAGGGAAGAATTATGGGTAAAATTCATGTTAATTGTTAATCATTTCTATTAGCCGTTTAGCATTGTTTTTTAGTCGTTAGTCTGTTCTTGTTAGCCTTGTTTGTGTTCATTAGTGTTAGGTCATTCAGTAGAGTACGGTAACCATGAGTGAGGGAGGTAGTTGCCAGCAAGAGTGGGGTTCACCAAGTTTGTGTGTTGAACAGTAAAGTATGTAAAGCCATCTGGTGGTGGATTCTTGAACTACAACAAGAGTTTTACGTCTCTCTCAGTAGTTGTGTGCTACCACTCATGTTACAATGTAAACACTCACGCTTAAACACAAGCGAGGCTTTTATATGTACAAATACAGTTTTTAAATTTAGTGTGTGCGGCTTATATTCAGGTGTGCTATTTACACCGCCAATTACTGTACATCGTTTCTGTTAGAAAACGTACGTCTGAGAACGTCTCGGTTTCTGTCGAAGGCCAAGTCGCAGCATTGAGACGTCCGAGGCGAGCAGGACGAGCTGGAGTAACCGGAAGAGGAGCTGCAGTCTGCGGACGCCAGGTGATGGAGCGGGACGCTGTCCACCTCCACCCGAAGATCTCCTGCAAAGCATGTCAGGGCTCTTAAACTGAACGGTTTCAAACAAAGTGGGAATATTTGGTGTTTCCAGGACATTTCTTACAGAACGTCTGGGGTTTAAAAACCCCTCATCGCACATCTGTATTCTTAAAAATAATGTGACCACCCGGGCTCTGACTCAAACTACGAGCGTTAAAGTTGAAGGACTGCTGTCAGGTTGACTGCGACCAAACAATAGGACTGTGATGTTTTTCCTGATAAGGTTTTATCTAAACAGCAGCTGGTTTTACCTGCAGGGGAGGAGGGGTGAGCTAGGGGGCCCATGTGACTGGAAGGGGTCACCCTGGCGATGCCGCTGCAGGGTCGCTTCTCCATTTTCATTTCTCTGCTGAAGACACCGCAGGAAACACCGGTCAGGGAAAAAACACCTGCATTAAACAGACGCCTTCTGGCCTGTCTTTTACAGAAACCATGACATATTTTATTTTATTTCAACCAACACTGGGCGACAACTAATGTTTTGTTTATAAAAATATTTTGATACCAAAAATAATCTCCGCTTCATCCATCAGGGGGTGACATTTCCCACGTGTTGTATCTGGGCATTTTCTATATGAAGATAAATTAGTCTCAACAAAAAGTATTTAGAAACGCAAGAATGTACACAATTCAAGCTGCACAAGTAGAAATATGTGATGCATCCAAATTGTGACAAGTTGACTCACACGTTTGGCTTTTTAACGTATCGTCACACCAGATTCACAAATGTAACGATGCGTTCAAGGCTGGAGAAAAGCTGGGACATCTGCGGTTTACCAGATTTACTGTTATTTGAAACAACAGATTTCTGACTTATCACAGTAGCTCATAACACAAACACTTAACACTGATTTTACTGGATTTAAGAACAATTAATTTTGTGGACTGTACAGCTGAATAAACTCACCTTAACCGAGTAGGTTATTCTACTACTACTAGTAGTAACTACGGTACTAGTCTAAAAAAGTTAAGTCTGATCCTCTGGATGGGTTCAAAAAACAAAATAAATTGTAGAAACGTTTCGTCTTTCATCCGAAAGACTCTACCTGGATTCTTGAGCATGCATCAGGGTACTAGTCTTCGTTAAAACTTTACTAGTAGCACTTTTAAAAACACATTTTTATTCCCTGGCTTTTGGCACAGCCTGAAATTTGCTCTGTTTTATTCTTTTATGTGTTTAGATGTTCTTGATTTTATATGTACATCACTTTGTTGCAGCTGTGGTTGTTTTAAAGGGCTTTATAAATAAAGCAGTAGTAGTAGTATTCTTCTGAAAAAACTACCAAAAAATGACAGAAGGTATCCATCCATATATGTTCTATATTATTTATGATAGTAAATGGTAATAACCTATTTAATCAACAGTTTGGGTTGTTTATTTCAGCGTAATGGTTCACAAAGGCAACATTTTCTGTGTATGTACTTTGTAGCAAGTGGTGGAGAGGGACCGAAGATGGGTGATGCTTTATGGATTTAAAATAAGGGTTATGAGTTACTGTGCCAAGTCAGAAATATGTTGTTTCAAATAACTCAGCAAATCTGGTAAAGCCCAGATGTCCCAGCTTTTCACGAGCCATGAACGCAGCATTACCTTTGAGAATCTGGAACGTGAAGAAAGTCTCGAAAGTCGCAGGCAAGCTGATCCATGTTCTCAGACAACTGGTGCACACGCATTTGACTGTAAGAGTAGCATATTTGTACTTGTGCAGTAAACCGTTTGTGCATTTGTGAATACACATAAAATTCTTGTTTGGTTTTTCAAATACTTATGAGACTACTTTCTTCATACACATACTCATACACATTCATCAGTTTGTAAAAAAAAAAAAAACTCCTGGAGGATGTTTCCACTTTCTGCCACCTGTTTAAACACAACACACACACACACACACCTGCCTGAAAACCTGCTGATGTTGGGAACGGAAACACAATCAAGCGCTACCAGGAATAAATCCACGGGAGTGCGTGACAGCGTGAGGAGAAGTTTATAATCATTGCATTTCCTGCACGTTCCTTTTGTTTTCACACGACTTTCTGCTGGTTTAGAACATCTTATCTCTTGCAGCGGCCATCAGCTAGTTAAACATTGACGATATAAAGTCCGCCGGTGCCGGTTCTGTCCAAATCAGCGACTTCTCTCTGCCTGGTGTTTGTTAAGAGTTGAGCTTTGACCAAACAAAGCCTACTAAGAGTAAGATCAATCTAGTAACTTCCTACAAATAAAACCACCATTATCATCTGCTACGTTTGTGGAACTGTTAGCAAAATATCTCATGAAACACTTAATTAAACTCTCAGTTATCAACACATCATCGGCTGATAAACATCTGGACTCTGCTCAATTTAAGATGCATTGGTTGAGATTAACCGACACCAACGTGGCTATTAATAAAGTATCAGTTTTCCACATACTGTGTTTAAATTTGTTGTGGTGGTCGTTGAGAGTCATTCACAACACGTGCTGTGAGCTCATAATGCTACTTCTGAGGTTTGATCAAAACAATTAGAATTCCATCATTTCTCAACACGAGATGATTTTAGTCTAAAACTACGACATGAACGTTGGCGGGCGATATATATATCCTTAAAAGGAACGCTGGAGCTTTAAATTGAACATTACGTCATCACTGTCCACTAAAATGTGGGAATTTACATTTTTATAGTTGAGACTTGTGAGTGAAGTGAGTCAGATTCCTGAGCCATTAACCAAACACCTAATCTGATGAGATTCCAGATGTTCTGCTGGTTTTCATCTGGATCGAGGACCACAGTGAGACAAACACGGCAGATTAATTATAAATTAATCCCTGCTTACTCTGCTGACTTTTGGAGCTCCAGTTGGGTTTTGAGTTTCTTTTTTGCTCCCTGGGTCAGGTCGTACTTGTTAAGGTCCTCTTCTGTCAGCCCTAAAAACTGGGAGAAGTCCACAGAAACGGGTTTATTTTTATTGCACTTGATTTAATCTGGACTGATTTATCTGAAGCAAACAGAGTAAAACCCACCTCCTCCATTGTGAGCTGTTTAAAGACAGGGTAGTACTTGTGCAGACGTAGTCGGCGCAGCCAGTCCAGAATGCCGTTCTGCTCCGGAGAGCCGGGCTGAGACTGGGCTGGCGGTGCTGGTTGGGACGGGGAGCGGGGCTGGGACAGGTGCAAACCGGGCTGACTGCCGGTTTGCAGGTGAAGGTAAGGGGGAAGAGAGTATGCGTGGTGCGGATGGGAGGAGGCATCCCCTCCCACGGCCATAGGGCTCCTTGTGGACATGGAGTGAGGCTGCGGGGGAGGAGGAAGAGGGGGAGGCAGGAGGTGGGGAGTGGAGCGGGTCAACACGGAGCTGTGGGTGCTGACGACGGGCTGAACGCTGGCCACCCTGTACACCGCCCTGAGAGAGGAAGCACAAAGCTTCATCATCACTGACAAGCGACTCGGTAGAACCATCAAACAGAACCTGATCCAGAGCGGGGTCAGTTACCATGGTAACAGACCCAGGTAAAAAGTGAACCAGCTTTCCAATTAAAAAATATCCTGAACTGGACCTAAAATTAGCTCAATGAGACACTAATCCAGCTTCAGCATATTCATGCTAAAACGGGCAACATGGAGTTGCGTTCTTTAGGGATCAGCAACAGGGTTGCCAGGTAAAAAAAACTACTAAATTTTTTTTTAATGATCTTACGTTAACCTAAATTATCAGGTATTTTGGTGTTCATGTCCATAAAGATTTGTTTATTTTGCTAAACAGAAATGTTAAAACTACTGTGAATCTGGGATTTATTGTTTATCTTATAAATCCTAAAACTATTACATGAATACAATACAATAGTGATTGTAAATCTGGCAACACTAAGATTTTTGAAACAAACAGTTACAAGCTTGTAAAAAATAAACTGTCCAGATGACCTGAATGAACATTGTTGGATTTTTACCTGGATTATTGAGCATGGACTTTGGTGTTACAAGCTTGTGTTTCTCATAAAGTTTTTTTTTTTTTTTTAAACAAAGGTTATTTATTTTTAGATTAAAGAAATTAAAAATCACTGAAGCAACAAGTTGGAACCGGTTGTTAGAACATCCCTCACAATCATGTTTTGGTTGTTTGGACTGAACAGAACCATGCCCATTCAACAGAGACGACTTCAATCAGTTATGCAGTTATATAAAAGTTTATAGTAAAAATTACTGAAACAAGAGTGCTGATAAACAATAACAGGGATTTTCTTCAATGAACCTGCAGCTTTTACTGAAAAATATAAAACCTTTAAAATAAATGTAAAATAAAATTGACTTGAAACAAAGAGTTGTGTTCGAGGTTAAGAAAAAAAAAAAAAAAAAAAGACTTAAAGCAAACACGTTTGAACCCAAACTGAACATCAGGACTCAGAATGATCCACAGCCTGAGCATAGAGAGGATCTGATGTCCTACCTGTTGGCTCCTCTGTACTGCAGCATGCAGCCGAGACCTGCGGGGCAGGAAAACAAAACCATCATCAACCACCTCAAAACACATTTATACAATTTTATGAAGTTCAGGAAGGGTCAGCGAGTGCACAAAGGCTTCGATAAGTAAAAAAAAAAACTAATTAGACTAATCAATACTTAAATATGATGATGCAACTTGATGCAAAAACATCAACACGTGTTTTTTGTTGTTGATCCCGTCAGTGTTTAAATGCACAATGTCTAGTCTGAAATTGTGAATGCCTAATAAAGTGGCTAAATAACATAATTGCAGAGTAATTGTACTTAAATGCAACTTTTTACAGGCAAACCAAAGATGATCACATTTATTTTTCAGTATATTTGGATTTTAAATTGGGTTTAAACACATCACAACCAGCTGAAACTTGTTCACTGACACAGAGTATTTTTAATTTTATTATAAAAATAACACAATTTAAGAAAAGGAAAAATAAAAGGGACAGAAAAATGTAAGTTTTACTTTAACTTTCTCCTTTTCATTCATTTTATAAGGTGAACAAAATGTACGTGTGTGCTGTTTTTGTTTGTTTTATATAAAAATTAATTAATTCATTCGATGGACTTGGTTTAAAACTCAAGCATAAAAGTTGGCGGGCGATATGCATTTCGTCAGGGAATGCTAGGGTTTTTAATTTTTACAATTCTTTAAACAGATCTCTTTGACTGCCATCTGCTGCAGGTGAAACACTGAAAACTGACACGTCTCCATCAAACCCCCTTCATTAAACCTCAAGTGTCCTTTTCAGTCAAAGCTGTCTGCAATGACCTGCATGTGTCCAAATCTGAGGACCCAGTTTCATGTGCACATGCTGGACTGTCCCACATTGTGGTGAAGGGCGTGTCTGCAGTCAAGCTGGACTCGTTGGCTCTGCTGTTCCCCAGAGTTTAAAACAAATTTAGAGGCATAAACACAACTAAAGATGCACACACACACACGGAGACATGCTGCACAGGTCCCTATAAATACACTCTGGGATGAAGTCACACAAACACAAACACACACAGCAACATGAGGTCATCACACTCTGGGCTTCCCAACACAAGCAGGCTGCACTGAATTCTCACACTGGACAGAAATAGATCGGGTCCGCTCCCTCCGACACCTCAGAAATCACTGGGTGAAAATCCTGCCTGCAGTTCTTTCTGTTACCTCCGCCGGCCTCTTCCCAAACACGGCTACACAGAATCAGAACTTTCTGCTCTGCATCAGTGAACAGATTCACGCCGCTGCAGACTATAAAGTCTGTTTTAATGGACTCTGCTCCCTCACACAGATAAAACATTGCTGATTATTTTATTTCGTTATATGTAAAAGTCCATCTCTTCTTGTGAAACAAAGAGTCTTACTGGAGCTGGAAGTGAACGGGCAGGCAGGGGCTGCAGGGAGGGAAGACATCGGAGGAGATGAGGGACAGCTGGGTGACAGAGGCCCATTGGAGGTGAAGAACAGCTGGACGGTGGGGTGCTGGAGGACGTGGCAGGGCAGGGACGCGAGATACCTGGTTAGGACAGATCCAGGACATGAAATTAAAAACAAACTAGAGAAATTACAACTACTGTGAAAATACAGCTAAAGGTTCAAACTTTAAGCAAAAGTAGCAAAAAACTAGCTAAAAGCAGCACATGGCATGTTTGATCATCTCTTTATATCTGTCTATATTTGTTGTCTCTTGCAGCTACTCTGATTTTATTTTAAAAAACACCTCACGGATGTCATGCTACAACGGAGTTTTAGTGCCACGCTAAGAAAAAAAAATTAAAAGCCAAAAAAATTACAAGAACATAGTCGAATAAAGTCTTAATATTGCGAGAATAAAGTCGTACAAGACTTTTTTTTTTTTTGCAGCTCTCGTTTATTAATAATTTTTTTTCCCATGAGTCGGATCCACAACATGACCTGTCAATCAATCCAGTAGGCGTGTCAGCAAATGACCAATCTGAAGCTAAATGAGTTGTAATATTATCCGAACTCCGACACAATAAAGCAGGTTTACCACAGTTTAACTGTGGTAAAATGAAGAATGTTGAGCATCTTGTTAAGTTATACTTTGGTATTTGTTTTACAAATAAGGAGATAGTTAATCTGTTAGCACATCAGCATCAGATTATTCTCAGTATCAGGACTTTGAACCTGCTTACAGTAAAGTGGTACGCCCTGATGGGCTGCAGCAGCTCTCTGCAGGTAAAGAGCATTTAGCTTCGGATTGGTTATTTGCTGACACGCCTATTGGATTGATTGACAGGTCGCAGCCTAGATCCGACTCGTGGGAAAAAATAAGATAAAGAGTTGCCAAAAAAAAAGTGTCGTACAACTTTATTCTTGCAATATTAAGACTTTATTCTCGTAAAAAAAAAAAATCTTAGCGTGGCCCAAAAGCTCCGTCGTAGTCATGCAGCTATTTTTTTTTTTTACAAATAAAAACTAGCATTTCCCAATGGAATGCAAATCACTGATCAATTTGCATACAAAATTTTAAACAAAGCTGTTGCACAGTGTAGTCCTCAGAGTACGTGTTGTGAATGACTCTCAGCTACTCTCACACCAAATATTAGCCCAGTATCTGTCAAACCTTTGCTGAAGTCAATTAGCGATTATAGCGACCATCTTGCATTGAGTCGACTTACAAAAGTCAGTCGGTGGTAGACGTACATCCAGTGGTGACTTTCTGAAAGTTTCAATTGAATCTCTGCAGTGCTTCATGAGATATTTTGCGAACAGAAACAAACAGCTTCACACTCATAAAGGTAATTACTATATCACTCGCCTTTCAGGGTGGCAGGTAATAATGAAGAGTGCTACTGATAGCACAAGTTACAAATTAGCCACTTAGCAATGATGGATTCCTAAAAAAGGAGTAAAGAAAGCTGTTGTTTGTTTGTTTGTCAGACAAACAACTGGTGCATTCTTTGTTGTAAATTAATTATAGATATTTACATCAACAGTTAAGTGATTGAGTTTTTTTATTATTATTTTTAAAGGTAAAAAAAAACCTAACAGCGCTCAAACCATTTGGACTCCCACAAACTTCGGGGAATTTTCCATTTTATTTTTTGAACAAATTCCCACAATGCTGGACGCTGCAATAACAAAAACAACAAGCCTCAATAGTTTTTGACATGACTGATATTCAGTAATAGATCCAACAAGTCATATCTGTGTCTACAGTCCCAAACAACAAGCTTCTTTCTATCATCATTTTAAGTTTAGTATGCAATTAAAAAAAATTAAATCTGAGGATTAATTCCTTTTCTAACTCCTCCCCACAGGAGTCATAAGGCTTTCTGACTGGGGTGTCATTGTAGGCCTCACCTGGAGTTGACCTCTAAGGACTGAGGGAAGAACTTCTCCAGTCCATCATCAGGAAACTCCTGCGACAGCTTACAAAGAAACGAACAAACATAAAACAATACGCTGACGATACAACGCTTCACTTACAAAGAAAGCCTGACTACTCACGCGTTAGCTAGAGAAGGTATAAAAAGAAGCTATTTATACATTTAATAACTTGGAAAACATGTATTGAAACATGAAGTGTGACTCAGATGACATTTTAAATATGTTTTATTTTAAAGGCAGATGCTTTAACAATTCCCTCGTTTTTGTTGCTAGTTAACTTTATCAAATTTTTTTCTGCATAAACCAACTACTACAGCCAAATATACGGTACTATTCATGTCAGATTATACGTTTAAAGGCCTAAAGATCAACGCTAATGTGACAAAGTTCTTACATGAGAGATCAGCTCTGACACCTCCTGCTGAGTTTTGGCAACAGTCGACACACAACCATCAGAACAGCTCACCTGAAGGACCAGATTAGAGACTCTCAGACAAAGAGTACAATAAAACACAAAAAACAAGTGTTCGCATTGAACTGACCTCAAACACATACTCTCTGGCATCCTCTGACCTGTGCGTCACTCCTCTCAGCACCACTTTTTCAATCACCGCTGGGAGACGAACACATCGGATCACAGACGATTAAACACGGGTCAGATATTACAAACAGCTGCTTTAATGCATCACACACTTTGAACTGATGCACTTTAAAGGCCCAAGGGGATTTAAGCACGTGGTTCAAAGGACTTTAGTTGAGCATATTTTCTCAACAGGAAGGTCAAAGGTCAAGGCAGGGTTTTATTAAGCAAAGCATTTGCTGGAGAAAACGCTTAGTGTTTAAAAAAAAAAAAGTATAGATCTTTGGAAATCCTCAGGGAATGTTGGACAAAGTTTTGTCCAGATGTTGAGCTTTTTATGTATTACTTGGCAAAACAGCTCATCTTTCCCAACTCAGTACAAGTTGCAGCTTCTAAGCAAAGACACAGCAGTGTGGGAAACACAAAAACATCAAATTAACTTTTATTAAATCACTAATAATATGAACCTAAGGAAAAATAAATACTCTATGACACACCAGACTTTTACAGGAAGTGTAGGATGATGCAAATAGGTTGTTAATTATGAAAGGTTTGTCACATACTGATGTTTAAGACAATTACTGTATTTTTAATCTGATAAATCGCAGTTTTTTTGCATAATTTGCATAACTTGTGATTTATACGACAAAGCGACATATTTATGTTTTTTTTTCAATATTTATAAACAAAATTTTGGCTGAGATATGACCGTTTTCATTCATTTAGAATGAAAATATTGAACACTACTTTTTTCAGGCACTAGATGGTACACAAGTAGTATGGTATGCTGTTGTATCATGTAATAGGTAAGTGGTTATTAATGACACAATCAGCTTGCCATAGTCTGCCACCGTCGTCTGTCCGTGAGGCTGACACATTATCCAGTTTTAAAACTAGGCTTAAGGCTTTCCTTTTTGCTAAATCCTATAGTTAGGGTCGGCTTGGGTTTCCTGAGCTGTCCCTTAGTTATGCTGCTATAGGCTTAGACTGCTGGAGGACAAACTAACCACAATTTTCACTCTGCTACTGTCTTTACTTACTCTGCTCAACCTGTTTTGTATTTGTAATTATTTTTTCTACCCTTAACGTGTTTTTTTGTCTTTCAGATACACCTGGACTTCTACCTGGACCTACCATTCTATGTTCGTCTGTCTCTCCTTCCTGTCCTTTCAACCAGCCGGTCAAAGCAGATGGCCGCTAGTCCTGAGCCTGGTTCTTCTCGAGGTTTCTTCCTTTTAAAAGGGAGTTTTTCCTTCCCACTGTTGCCACTGTGCTTGCTCAGGATGGGAGACTGCAACGAAGCCAAGATTCAACTTGTCTGCTGGATTCCTTAGATGGAGAACTTTACTAATTGGCTTTAATGTATGTGAATGTTCCTGTAAAGTGCCCTGAGACAACTTTGTTGTAATTTGGCGCTATATAAATAAATTGAATTGAATTGCCTGGAACAACCGTCAAATCAGCTGCATTTCGCTGCGTCGCGCCGGTGAAATGCAGCTGATTTGACCATTGAAGTGTATTTATTAAATAAAAGTTCAACTGAGACACACCTTTACTATAATGTCGAGCAAACAAATAATTGTTTTCAGGTGGTCATCTTGTTAAATTTTGAAGAAATGCACAGCAAGTTGCCTTCTGTGCGTTCCCGTTTCTGCATATTGGCGTTTGAAAATGCAGCTGATTTGACCGTCAAAGTACATTTATTAAGCAAGAGTTAAACGGAGACACACCTTTGCTATAATTTTGAGCAAACAAATAATTGTTTTTAAGTGTTAATCTTGTTAAATTCTTGTTAAAGTCCTCCCGCGCACGCCCCGCAGCCACCATTTGGCAGGCAGTCGATTTTTGGCACAACACCAGCCCACATTTCTGGGTTGTCAGCGGTGATGCGCAACAGATGCGACATGTCAGCGGTGACGCATCATAGATGAGAGATATACAGCGAAGCGATGCATTTATGGATTTTTCCACTTTATTAGACATATTTGGACTGATGCGACTTATAAGGTGGTGCAACGTGTAAGGCGGAAAATATGGTAATAATGTCCTGTCATTATCTTATGTATTTAACAGTGTGTTTGTGTGTGTCTTCATATTGTCAAAATATCTCTTGAACTACAGAACATAGCTTAATGAAACTCAAACTAAATAAAATTTTAAAGTTAAATTTGGTCAAACAGATCCATTCACTGATTTCAGTCACCTGTGTTAAACCCAAATATGTTCAAACATGTAGAGAAAACATCTAATCCATAAGTAAAGACAGGTTTGGGCTTCTCCACTCCAGTTCAATTATTGTCAGCCCGTGGAAGATTATTGCAAATTCTTAAAGAAAAATGACGGGTGTGGATTCAGACAGATGTGACTACACAGCTTTGTTTAACAGCACGTCGGGCGTGTAGCAACAAGCAGCAGACTCGGGTTTATTAGAGTCGCACATCCATCAACACCTTGCTGGCAGCAGCTGTGAAGGTTTTCTAACACACACACACAAGAAACTGTCGAGTTCAGCAATGTGTGTACACAACGTGCTGCTGATTAAAATCAGGAGTCTCCTGAAGACGAACCACCCTGACTTAATCACTTTACAGTATAGCCTGCAGTGAAAAAATATGCAACAAGGACAGATTGGTTCATTTTAGCAAGCCTGAGGTGCAGCACACTTAGACCCTTTGTGTGTTTATCTGCAGCCCGAATGCCTGCGCTTTACATTGATGACAGCTACGCAGCGCAACCACAAAGCACAAATAGTTGAGCATTGTGTTACCAACCGGCCTCGAGAAGTTCATCCCACCTTAAAGCACATCAAGTTAACCTCACACACGAGCTACCAGGTCACGGCTTGGTAATAACTGAGAACAGAGCGTGTCCCTTGTTGATCAAACAGTGGGTCAAACTCAGCTGGAAGGAAGGAGGAAGACTGTGCTGCTAATCGAGCTGCACAACATGTATCAGTACAAAGGACTGCAGTGAACCACAGATACAAACTGATCTTGCCAGGTCTGATTAAGCATGGAAAACATTTGTTCTTAGACTTTATTATCATTTCAATACAAAATGCTTAAACAAGCATTTTGTTAATACTATCCAGACATTACTGTCTTGTTCCCCTCACAGCTCACTGAAGCTTATTTCTCATGAAGTGATGTTGTTAAAACCAGCTGCCTAATGTAGAACAGTGGTCCCTTGTTACTTCGCGGTTCGACTTTCGCGGACTCGCTCTTTTGCGGTTTTTCCAACGTTTGTCAACTTTAATATTACTCACGAGATTGAGACGGTACGAGATAAAAAGTTAACAAGAAAAAAAATACTTGGGCCAGGCGCTGCCATTTTGTAGTTTTCTTTCAATAAGCCTACACTGTAAGGCCAGTCAAAAGAACTACACTACCCAGAAGTCAACAGTGCTTCCAGCTGCTGCTTTCTGCCAAAATGAAGGGAAAGTTTTGCAACGCAAATCTACGATATCTATAAAGCTCACAGAACTGGCAGGAAAGTTGCAAATAACCCTGAAGCTCAATTATCCACGTGCACATCAACCTGGACAGGGCGGTGGGCTTCGTCGCTGCAGGGCAGGTCCGCCGAACCAGAACAGAGCCGGACTGGAACCGAGCTGCTGGTCTGCAGAGCTGGGGAGTAAAATTTTGCAGTACTGTACAGTACATGTATGTATGTTGTTAAAATTATGTAGGTTTAAGAGCTTAGAACATTGCAAGAGTGTGGGAAAAGTTTATAAAGCCTTAAAATATATATAAACAAATACAGCGTTCCTGCTTCGTGGTTTTTCACCTATCATGATATGTTGTGGAACACAACCTCGCAATAATCCAGGGACATGTATGTGTATGCCTTGTGTGCGATAAAATAAAGAAAACATTTTTAACATGCCTGTCAACAAACTATTGTACAGCAATGCTGCGACCTACAGGAAAGGCCGTCATGGTCTGTGCCGTTTTGTTAGTGTTTGTAGTGTTTTGTATGTTTATCCGTGGGGTTGTTGTTTGGTGTTCTTGTGTTTATGTTATTTGTAGTTTTTCTTGTTTGGCTTCCCTGTGTTCCCTGTGGCATTTCTCATTCTTCTGCAGTCAGCTTCCCCGGAGGTTTTCCAGTCAACTGGCCACTCTCACCTGTTCTCTGTTAGCAACAGAGCTGTCATTTCTAACCCGAACCCCAGCCCGGACCGACTCGGATTAGGGCCGGGCCGGTCTCGGGCTTTGATGCGGTTTTACAAATCATAAAGCACAAATAAAACGAGAGGATGAAGAAAGAAAGAAGAGTGCAGCAGTTAGACTGTGGAGGAGATCGCTGGCGCAGTGCGCAGTAATTGCGCACGTGGGCTCAGGCTTCTGTGGTTTTGCGAACCATACAGCTCCTTCAACCCCCTGAGCCCGAGGGCAGCGTTCTTCCAGCTCAGCTGTAGTTTTCGGCGTGTTGCAACTTGAAAAAAATATAATAAAATAAAAATCACACTCCTGAAGATCCTCGATCAACTCGGCTCACCTTTCCCTGCTTTCCACTGGTGGCTCTTCATCTGCGCCTCCTGACCCGGCCCGGCAGGCAGTGCCGGGGGCAGGTGGGTCGGTGTGAGAGGTGGAGAACGGAGGTCCGGGTGAGGAGACGCAAACTCTGGATGGACTGCTTGTTCTCCTTGTTCTGAAGCAGCTCTGGAGCTGGACCCTGAACATGTGGAGGCCTCAAGGTTCTGCTTCTGCAGGGCAAAGGTGAAAGGTCGAGAGAAAACAGGAAACACAAAGATGACCCGAATTTAATAAACTTATCACACTCAAAAGACCGTAAAGTGTTCTTTTTTCAAGTTTGAAAGTATCAGTTTGAGACGTTTCGACTAATAATATCTCATAAAGCACTGCACTGGTTTTAATAATAATGATATATATTTTATCAAATATATAAAATGATAAGCCAACATGTTGCAATCCTACACCACAGGCTGTCAGTCACAAAAACTATCAGCCGACTCAAAGCAAATAGTTTTTTTCTGTCAGGACAGTCGAGCTAAATCCTACTCTTTTTCTGATTTAAAATGTAAAATGTGACTACAAAGTGTAATTCATGCAGTTTTTGTATTCAAGCTCTTAAAATTCTGAGATGCAAGTTAAAAACAAACACGGGGGTGCTGCTCTTCTACAGTAAAACTCAACACGTGCAAAAGCACAAAATCAAACGGTAGATCTGAAAACAATTAAGTGTGCTGCTGCCACATCCGCACGGTACTGATCCGAACTCAACTCTGCAGCTGAGGACACTGAAGGTACATGAGTCACTGAACACACACAGAAAAATCTTACAAAGAGTGGGACATTAGATTAAGACTGGCTTCAGATATTTGGGAAAAATAAATAAATTTAAAAACAGGCGTAGCTCGCTGCCACAGCAGCTTCTCCTCAAACAAAACTCAACCCCGCTGTTAATTCTGACGCTGGATTGCTTTTTATAGACGTATAAAACACATGTGCATAATGAGGCGATTATGCAAGTTTCTACTGGTCTAACTGTGCAGTAACTTCTTGCATGTGCTCTTTAAACCACTGAATTGTTGCTGAATATTCCTCCTGAAAACAAAAAAAATCTAATGCAACTATTTTTCCTCTGAGTCACAGCTGCTTTGTGTTAGATAAACAGTAAAATCCACAAGGAACAAACATCTGGAGAGACACTGTACTCTGTCTTACGCAAAATACATTCATGTTCTTCAGTGCAACTAAACACACTTTGTAAATAATAATACTTGCTTTAATGCTAATTACGTACAGTTGAACTTTTTTTTTTTCCATTTCACCTACATATATAACATGTATTCATATATACATATTCGTGCGACTTAGTTCGCTGTGGCGACCCCTGAAGAAGGGAGCAGTCGAAAGAAGAAAAAAAAAAAAAAACTACATATATAACAACAACAACCAAAAAAAATATACTGATTATATATATACTGA